CACATGGTCTGCGAGGAGTGCCGTACTATTGCTCGCAAAGAAGCCGTTCCTGTGTGCTTGATTGACAGAAAAACTCTTGATTCTCAAACAATCTCTGACACCGGATTCAACGATGCGTTGCAACACAGGAAAGTTCGCTGTGTGAACGTCGACAGCGGCTGCGACTTCACCGGACAAATCGACCAACTTAACGACCACTTAAGCAGGAGCTGTGCTTTCTACCTCAAGGAGTGTTCAAAATGCAAAGAGGCTGTAGTCTATAAGGACTTAGTCAGCCACTATAAAGCGTGTGCAGGCGTGCCTGTAGTCTTTGTTGATGCCGGGGACAGCCAGTCACTCCTGGACGATATTGAAAACGTCCGTCGAGAGCTTGAACAGACGCTGGCCCTGACAAGTTCGGACGTTCGGGACGCCGTCGGCTTGCTCACGGATCAGCTTGAAATGCTTCGAAGTCAGCTGACTACGCGTTCAGAATGTCGGGAAGACAGCGTGACATCGGTCGACAGCAAGCAGTGACGTGTAAAGCCTACCTGCTTCGAACCGATGCGCGCGGCTCCCTTGTGTTTCAAGAGAAGTTAGGAACCTTCACATTATATTTTTGTTTGTTTTTCTTTATGTACGTGCGTGTTGAAGAAAGACAGCCGAATTGCGGTACGTTCTCAGTTACATATTCCGTGTCTTTCGATAGGAATTGCGTGTTGTCGAGCTGTTCATGACATGTGGAATTTATAATTGAAATAAAGAATGTTACGAACCTACCCGCCATGATGATTGAGTGCAGGACCGAAGGTCGCGGGGTCGAATCACGGCCGCGGCGACCTAATTTCAATGGAGGCGCAGTGCTAGAGGCCAGTGTACAGAAGTGCACGCTAAAAAACACCAGATGGTCAAAATTTCCGGAAACCTCCGCTACGTACAGTGTCCCTCACATCAGGTATTACGGACATAATGCCCCAACAATGATTTTAAATTATTGTTGCAAGCCATTTGACGTTTCTACAGTAGCAATTCAGCACTTTTCTCATGTGGCCAAGGCAGCCAGACGTGTAGAGCTCATTGGCCCGCACACAATGTCCATTGCAATGAAGTGTCACTTTGGTTTAATTATTTATGATATCCAAGCAATTTTGGCAAAGCTCTACAGTGTTGATGATTAATATCCATACACTGAAATATGTAAGCCCCATAATGGTGGCAAAGCTTGCAACTAAGCCGCATGCAACTTCAAACAGCTAAACTGGATGATTCTGAAGAGTATAACTTGCTCCAGAGCTTTATTTATTCATTTATTCATAAAGCCCCTGCAGACTCCAACTGGAGTATTGTGTTAGAGGAGGGATTATACGGTGCATAATCGCATTAGTTCAAGCATCAAAACACAATTATATGTGTTACAATTAGGTTGTTTCTACGTTGATTCTCAACTCAGAGAAGTTTGAGTTAAACCACAGGCAGTCGCAGACGCGACACGGTTGTTGAAACTTTAGAGACTGCCACTCGCGTTGATACTGCATGCGCACATCTCATACAGATCTACGAGCTCATTGTTGTTCGTGTGGCCTTACCATTGGAAGCAGTATACAGGCAGCCCCAGTTGCCTTTTATGTTCCCTAGTATTCTCTCGTTGCACTATAGACTTGGCGTCTTCAACTTGCCGGCATTCCTTCACAACTATTTCTTGAACTGACTGTTGCCTTTTTCATTTCTAGTGGACAAGGGGTGACAGTGGGATTTTCCCCATTTTAGTGGCGCACATACATTTATGATTATATTTTCTCACAGCTGCCATTACCTTTCTTGTTCTCTAGTGTTGGGCAACTGTGTGATCTATGAGATCCTGTAAATCTCTGGGAGGTACGAATGCTTGGTTTCAGCGTGATTTGGTCTGATTGGACACTAATGTTGTGCCTCTGACTCTATGACAGGGGTGAAAGCTTGGTTTCAGGGCGAGTTTCTGTCTCTGGAGTTTGGACATCTGTGCCGTGCATGTGACTGTTAGTGGTTTCACTCGAACCTCTCTGCGGTGATAATCAATATAGACAAAAATTAACGTCAAGTAACTAAAGCCGAGGAATGATCTGGAAACAACCTAAAAGCAACCACATTAGTCTCCAGAGTCATCCAGTTTTGCTATTTCAAGGTTTGCACAGCGTAGTGCGAGGTTCAATTTTTTCTCACTACATTTGAGTGGGCTGATACAGCGTTAAGAATCTGTTTCACAGACAGCACCAGCAAGTATGGGAAACCTTCAACTGAAGGTTAAGATCGAGAAGTTGCGGGAAGTTGTGCTTTGTAACCTCGCATGTAACCTCGCTTTTAAACACGGCCAACAGATTGAAAACAGTTTCAGGCAATGCAACATCTTTCACAACCATTACATAGTCCTTCACATGTTCGAATTCACAGTTCCACTGAGGATTCTGTCCACAATGAAATCAATTTTAGATATAAATATTTGATACAAGACAGGTGCCACGCACGAGCCTACACAAACTTGTGATTGCTGGAATAGGCTCTGTCATTGTCAACCGGCAAAGATGCAGTGTAGGTAAAAAACCCGTGATCCAGTGAATGATTCCACAGGAATGTCACTACGACTCCTGAAACCGGGCTTACCATTGCATTCCTTCATACATTCTCAGACGCACTCAAGAAGCTTTCCATTAGAAATAGAAAAAAAAAACATTAATACTGAACGTCGGAGAGGAGCTTCGGTCACACTTTCTAAGAAATTGAAACATCAAGTATGAGTTTTTTACTCTAAAGGGATCATCCATGAACCGCTGCTTCAAGTGGCTTCCTAAATGGCTGGAAATATTTTTTGCCACGTATCTCTTTCTGCAATATTTTTATGTTCACACATCGCATGGCACGAGGACGACAATGAAGGGCACACACAGCACTGAACTTGCGACTGGCTTTATTTTTCTGCTTAGAGCAATATAAGTGCACTTTTTACAGGAAGAAAGGCAAAAACACAGTAGACGAGGCATACGAAATTGAGGTCAAAGGAAACAGCAATTGATCATCAATATCTTATATTTAGCGATAAAAATTCACTTTCCTTGCTCAGAAGAACAATCGAAGCTAGACTGATGCACTTTTTCCAATGTTTCGAAATTTCTCGGGCTTCTCTAATTTTGCGGGCTATCCCATCTTTGTTTCTTGAGAGTACATGAGTGTGATTAAAAAGCAACAATTGTCTGACGAGGCATTTCGAGCTCGTGAGTCTACATTGCGAAGAATGGTGTCAGCTTCAAAACCTGGCTCTAAGCAACAGAAAATAACTATTGTTGAAGGTTTAAGTCCAGCAAAAGTATAACTGCCTGATCAGTGACCTTGGACGATGTCATAAAGGCAGATTCAAAATATTTTTTTTTATTGCTTTACATGCCTTGCATGTGTTGCTTCGCACAGATTTCAGAAAATTTTCATTAATATTATTGAGCATCGAACACCTTACACAAACATCCTTTCTAATTATGGACACAAAATTGGGTACTGAAACAACAGAGAGCACTCTCAGAATATATTTGCAAACATCACATGTTATTTTATGAAATTTATAATGCTCCTGAATATTACAAAAATATTTTATCTCCAAATTAGTACAATAATTGAGTTTTTTTTCATTTTTCAGATGAATAATGACATGGTCGCCAAAACGACTGGGGTGTCTGTCATGGAAAGGCTGCGCTCTTATCTTTAGCCTTCCAAGGAAAACACTCTGAAGAGGATAGCACAAGTCGCAGCATTTACTACTACAATATCAACTTGTTGATACCCTAATTTTGCCTTTCCCTAGAATGCTTGCCTTACCTTGGAATCCAGTCTGTCACACGTAGTCAACAGTGTCTAACGACACGACCACTTTACATCAACAGAAGACATGGCCTCCATAATTGTAGAGGATGAGAATACTGATGCTGTTTGTGATTTATGCATAAGTGAGCCATCCCCCGTGTTTATGCCTGAAGAGTTATATTTTATATGCAAGCGGTGATAATGCATTATGTCCCGGAATTCCGACCTGAAGAACGCGGGTTCGATCCCACGTCCTTTGAGTCAGCAATCCTGCATTACAATGGAAGTGACATATAGTGCCAGGCCTGTGTATTCAGAGCTAGACAACTCTGAAAAATCTCCATGTTGTCAAAATTTCAAGTGCCATCCACTGCTGCGTGTCTTATAACCATATTGTGGTTTAGGTACGAAAGACGCCACTAATAATTGCTATATTGCATTGCAATTGTGGCTTGTATTTCTGTTTTCTAACTCATATTTATTGTTATATCATTTACATAGCCACTCAGTGTGCATTTTTGTAGACAAGGTTATGTTCCTTAAATAAAGCCTAAATCAATAACATAATTTCGCTTGTCCTATGTCCAAGGGAAGGCAGACAAGTGTTAGGCAATGTCTAGCAGAGATGAAACATGCTCCTCATCTCTATCACGCAGTGTCTAAAGGGGATGCTCGCGGCAGAAAATGCGCGCTTTGATAAGCTGGGTGTAAAGTATGAAAGTTCTCTCTTTGACCAGCCCTAGCCATATCTTTGCAAGTAATCAGCAGATGAATTACAGCTTTGTATGAGTTGTGTTTGTGTTAGCATCACAAAATTTACATAGAAACCATAAACAAAACAAGGATCGCATCTCTCGCTAGGGGTGCCGTATTTCATTTTGGTTACGCCAGGTCTCACTCCAAAGGAGGGAACTGCTAGCTTTAGTTTGTTGATAGCAAAATCATTAGACCTTGCGGCAATAATGCAACCTTTTCTTCCTCGCAACTGCATCTTGGTTATTCGTCACAATCCGAATGGCAATGGCGCATGAAGTCTGGTGGGGTTTTGAAAACAAATACTTTTGTTGCTATTAGTGCCGCATGCACGTTTTTTTGTGTACTTTTGTTGTGTTCATGCTGCAACTAAATTTATCAATATACAATATTAACAAGTCTGCATTGCCAAATGCATTTATTACATGGTTTCAGCTCAACTATACAAGGTCTTGAGATTGAAGTTTTCCGCACTGACGTTATGATGACTTCGAATCTCTCTCCACTTTCTCCTTTAGCCACAAGGCCTTCTTTTCACTGAAAAAGTTGGAAAAGATAAGTATCTCAACACACATTCAACACTGCAATCAACACTGCAAGTCATCATCGATTGACTGTGCAAGATCAGAGGGTCAGAAAAAGTACAAAAGAAAGGTTACACTAGTGAGTGTGCTCGTGTAGCGACCAATGCGCATCCTTGCCTGTGCACAAGAAACACTTCTCAACACGAAAGACCCATGAAGTGGCTGTGCTGTGAGCTCAGAAGTTAAGCTAAGTTTTTACGGTGGACCTATGTTCTAATATAACACATGAAGTGACAAAGCTTATCAACTGTTGCTTGCATCTATTTTCCAAAACGGCAAATCAGCTCAAACGGCCAACATTTTTTATTACACTTCATACATAGCAGACATATTCAATAACCACAAACAGCAAAAAAACTTGACTTCTTGAGGATGGTGATTCAGGGGTCCTAGACATTATGTGCACCTTGAGTGTCTTTATGAAACAATGAAAGGCCAAATCGTCTTTGCAGCACGTTATCTTAACTTATTATTTTACATAATTTTATGCAACTCGATCAACTTTCACGATCACACTTACCTAAAGAAAGCAACGTATTCTCAATAAACGTCATTGTATTAGATAGCAAGCAAACACGCTACTTGGAAATTTCACTTTTTGCATTTTGGAAGAACAGCGCTCACAAAGTTCACACTGATACCACCAAACATAGCCCTCTGGGTCCTACCTGTACTCCTGCATCCAGTAGTCATGCTGCCAGTACCTAAATTCCTTCACCGTCACCCCCAATGCCTTGGTGCCTACTGTCAGCGCTGATCCTGATGCAAGTCTGTGGAAACAAAACGACTGAACTGTTAAACAGTGTTGTCGCTGTCGAAGACCTGCATGCCTCAAAAATCACAAATGTGCAGCCCTGTTACTGGCGGCCTACTGTCCAATCTATTGGGTGAAACATGGCCAGCATGACAGCATCGATTCAAAATCCAACCGTGGCGGCCACATTTTCGGTGGAGGTGAAAACTCTCGAGTCCAGTGTACTGAGCTTTAGGTGCCCGTTGAAAGAACACCAGGTGGTCAAAATTTACAAAGTCCTTCACTACGGCACACCTCAAAATAATATCTTGGTTTCGGGATATTGCGCCCCAACAGTTATTATTTTGACAGTATAAATTGCAACACCAATCGATATTGTACATATATCAAATAAGTATTCCATGTTATGAATTGTTGAAAGAGCTTTAAAAGCCTCAGTGAATCTCTAATAGCACACCATTTGTTTGCTGCACTATGAAGAGGTGAATATTTCAAATTTCATAACCAATATGCGGACCCAAAAGGCTCTTACCATCATCATCATGTTCCTTCTAATGCCCTATTCGATAACATCACCTTGTGTGCTGTATGCTATGGGTGTGAGCAATAGCATGCAAAGGCTGCTGACGACAGAGGTGCACCATCTGCGCCAATTTGGTACAATTCCACATTTTTGCGCCGTGCTGTGCCAAAACCATGAAATTTGCTGAAATTACACCACAATGCACCAAAATACCTGACCAGCCTCGAAGTTTTCTCAGTTGCCCTCATTTCAGCGAGCAATGGCAGCCACATTGGCTATCTGCTTGCACCTTGCGTCATTAATCAATCCAAGTGTGCAGGCCCTGCACCCTAAACCATGGTGCAAGAAATATTCCGATTAGATCAGGGCACTTGCCACACGCGATTGACCAGATAAAGTAACAAAGTTGCGCGCCATTGGTTCGCTTACTGCTGTGGATACCTATTGGTGAGGCGACGCAACTTGAAAACAAGAAAGCGTTGCGTAACCACCAACACTTCGCGAGAAATGTGAACTTCCTAGTCGGCAAACGTGTCTATGGCATGTTAGCAACTAAAGCTGAAAGCGTATGCCGCATTTCCCATGCGCAAACAGAGATTCGACGTGCTGCGATAATGAGCGTTGCCGGCGACCACGTTGTTTGCTATAGCAACGGCACATAAAACATTTTTCTGTATTGAAGTTTCGTCGTCCCAACAATGAATATCCGATGCCGTCGACGGCCCAAGAAGCGCGCACCGTTGCTACTTTATCTGGTCGAACACACCTTGGAAGCAAGACAAGAAGTTGTGCCCTAAACCTAAACTTATCGATAAAAAAAAGAGAGAGGGGGGAGGGCACAGCGGTGTTTTATGACTTTTTCCAACTTGTGCAGAACGCAGCTTAATCCAGCTTCGCCGCAGTAGATTAGTGTTTTGCGAAAAAACGCGTTTCAATTTTGAAGGGGCTGTTAGCACTAATCACGGGACACAGCACATTTTGTTCAACTACTAATGGGTCTATACGGGGCATAATTGTGAGTACTAGTAGAACCGATGATGTCTGAAAATGTTACTGGCAATTATTTGGAGCAGTGTATGACAATTTTGAGGCCCTAAAAAAACTGTGAGCCTGTTTTTATTTTTTCGCCACCCTTACGAATCTCTGAATTTCTAGCTCGCCAGCTTGGAATTTGCAGAGTCAGACACGGCAAATGCAAATGAGGATATTATCACTATTTGCTCAGTGAGGTGGTTCATAACACTAATTTTCTTGAAAAAAGCAGTTCTCTTATTGACACTGCACAATTCAGGACAAGTTGAATGATGTGTACATATTTTTTTCTACATGCAACACTTATTTTTTTTACTGCTCCAAATTTGAACTCTTGTGCTCCAGAAGTAAAATTTTGCTGCTTCCAAAACTGCTCCAAATTCTATTTTGGCTGTTGCACCCCTGCTGATGAACACAAGTGAAGCAAAGAGGGAACGTGCCAGCCGGCTCGATCGTGCGAAGGAGCATGGAAAGGTACTGGCAAGGGGGTAGGGGGCTACATCATTTAGGAGGAACTGCGAAATTTGATCAAATAAGCGCAGTTGCGCACAAGCTGTGTCGATGCACATCAGCTGATGGCTCATGCCCCAGTACGCACTATGTTTTCACCACTAATATTGCGTTGAAGGGATAGAGCGAACGAAAGCTGCTTTTTCTCGCTGCTGCAGCCATGTTCCCTTTTATTGTAGAGTTATGCCAGACTGAATCTTGAGAGAGCCCTGCAACACTTTTTGAAGTATCCATGGAATTGATTCGCTAAAGGAGCTTATTGCATCACGAATTCACCATTGCAAAAATTTTTGGAATCCACCCTGTAAGAGCGGAGTTGCAAAGCTTTGTCGTATGCTACGATTGCATTTCCTTTCTCTCGTCCCGACGAAAGTGCTGGAAACTAAGCAAGGAAAGATGGCGCAGCGACAGAAGATACATCATGCTCGCCTCGCGACCTTGAGCACTTTTTCTCGCTTTTTCTTTTTTTTTGAGTACGCAGCTTTTCAGTACAATAGTGTACAGTCGCAGCCTCCCGCAGCAACCCAAGTGACAACCAAGCGCGCCCTGCTGAAATCAGTCAATGGCTGATACAATGGCTGTGATGAGTAATTTTTGAGCTTGTATCGTGTCATTTCTGGAGAAAGGATGAAGCAATTTATAGCCCACTTTGATCATTTATTGTGAATTCCAGGCCGTGCGCTATGCTATAATATTTGGCTCACCGTTTTCTCAGGAGCATCCACTAGCTGTCGCCAGCATTTTCTGACCATGCTCAAAAAGTGTTGTGGAATCTCTTTAAAAAAGTTAGCTGCTAGCCTTACTTTTAGATCATTCTATCTGGCCACATTCATTGCTTCATCCCTGCAGCGAAAATGTGGCATTATTTAAAGTGAAGCTTTCTATGCATGATTCGCGAGTGCATACAATGCACTGGAGGAAACGCAACTCACGTATTAGAACTGTTCATGCCTCTGCGCACATATGTATAACAATGGCGCACCACATATGTATCGTAGAACACTACAGTTTACATTGCTATTGCTAAGGTGTGAGAACTATGGCAATTGCAATGCTATGCAACCTAGAGAAACTCTATATATCTGCACTTTATTATGCAGAATGTCTGCAACAAACTCTGGTTCGACAATCAGGTAATCTTCCTGTACAGCACTCACTAAAATTATCAGTACAGCAAGCTGTTTCTCATGAGAGCCTTTGTACTATAGAACATTGGAACTTTTTTTATTCATTTAATTTATTGACCCCAAGGGCTCAAGAATGGGTGTTACGTAGGGGGGAATACATTACATAGTACAGTGTAATAAGGAAGAAACAGGCATGACAAAAAAAGCAATAACAAGCAAACATAATATAAACACAATGTAAAAAAGGTGAACACAGTTCAATACTAATAGTAAAAGGTCACGTAGTGTATAATAAATGCATTTAAAAAAGATACCTAAAAATATCTGTTAAATAAATTCTTTATCAAACGCATTCTATTTTCATTGGTCATGTTCTATATTTTGTAATTATGCAATATTATACCATGATGATGCACATCTGTTCATGCTTTTTTGCATATTACTGTACTAGATTCAATTAGTAATTCCTTATTAAATACTTCATTCATGAAATCTATTTTTTACGCACTGAGAAACTTCAGCTATAGATATTTTATTCTGATGCGGAGTATTATGTTTGCAATTTAGTTATGAATGCATTTTTTTCTTGTTACTGGTTTCCAACTGTTTTACCAGGTTTGCCTGTCTATTTCGTAATGGCTTTCCATAATTCATGTACGGAGGATTCTGGTGTGGTCTCCACACCCACTTCTGCATGCGCTTTTGTTTGCAATCCTGCTTCACAGAATTCAAACTTAAGCTTCTAAAAAAAAACACACCAGGAAGGACGACAAGTGCCCACAAAATAAATAAATACAGTTGAGCCCTTTTATGAGAGCACCGAATCAGTTGGACATAAAAGACACAAGCATTGGTTGGCAAACTCACTCATATATACATATAGAGAGAGCTGCGAGTCTGAGTCCAAGAGAGTCCACTTGAGCAAAATTTTGCCAGTCTAAGTTCAAGTGAATATTGCCGAGGAACAGTTTCGCGAATCTGAGTGACTTCACTTCTTTGAAATTTTTGGTGAGGCTGAGCCCTAAGCAATAATAATAATAATAATAATAATTTCTTCTGAGTCTGAGTTACCTCAGTTTATATTGCCAACCGGTGGACACAAGTGTGCTGACATTCACACAGAAGTTTATCAGAAAATGAGAATGCTATGAAAGACACTTTACGCAAGGCCCAGTGCATGTCTTTTATTAAAAGGATCAAGTGTATCAATAAACCAGTACGCGAACTAGTAAGAATACATGTGAGAGCTTCCCGTGTCTAGAAAAAATGACGGCACAACAAACACAACTCACCCAAGTAAGCTACCAAGCCCAGCGCCCACGAGTGAGCCACGAACGCCCATGTTGAGTTTGAAGAAGAAGCCCGACAGTGCTGGACGAAAAAATGGCACAAAAAACTCATGAATTACAAACACGACGAGATTCACAGCTGGGCCTGTGTGAACACTAGGGTGACTATTAAGGCATTCGCAAACACTCCAAATCGAATTCAAAGGTTAACAAAATTTCAAATTGTTTAAAGTGATTGCATAGGTGCATTCTATCACATGTAACCCACCTAAATGGCTTCATTGCATCGTAGAGCCACTGCATCGTAGGCTCGCCCAAACATGCGAGTCAAACAGTAGTAGCACATTGCGCGGCATGGAATTTACAATTAGGTTTAAAAGTCAGCTAGACCTTGCTCGTTCTTTCTTTGACAAGTGATTCCATAAGCACAAACCTTACAATTGTTGACTTCATAGTACAATGAGCAGAAGGGGTTGTGATGTGCCTTTCATTTTAGTGTCTCTTTCTATCTCCCCATTGGCTGATTTGAGCATTGCGAACTGCATTGCTACCGCAGCCACTGCTGGTGACCGGCAGCATTTTACAACTAATGATTGAAAAGTGCTGTATGGCCTCTTAAACCCTTCAGCGTCGTATGCTCTATTATCAGATGCGTTATTCGAAGGTCGCATGTTCGGTCCCTGCCCACAGCAAGTTATCTTTTCGTCCACTTTTCTTCACATTTACATCACGATTACTTCTAATAACTTCCCCTATACTTTCCTTGACATGATTGTCTGTTAGATCTTATTATTATTGTGTCTAACAAAGGAGAATAAGCCCTTAAATGTACACTTCTTTCTTTGATGCTAGATGACCATACTTGTCCATGTTGAGACTTTTGTGTCTAGGCTTTCATTTTATAACCATTTTTCATTGTATTGCCATGTATTAAAGCAACCATCAATATTTTTCACCTGCATGATTAGTGAAATAAAAGAACCCAACTGAATGGTACCATTTTATTCAGAAAAAAATGCTCTACAAAATGAGCCAAAAAGATTTTTACAGTAATTTTGCCACAACTTTCTTCTTTCTTTAGATGGTGAAAGAGTTGATGGTAACTACTACTACTAAGATGTCAGCTGAACCTGGTTGTAGTTTACTCTGCTGCAATCTGCTGTCTTCTCATCAGTTAGTATTACTACGGTTACTTCTCGTTCACTCGCACACCATGTGCTTTGTAACTTCTTTTTGTGTTTTTTTTGTTATTCCCTGACTTTTTGGCCTCTAAGCTAGAAGAGGCAACATGCAATGATTCAACACATTTTGCTTCAGTGATGATGGTTGTCAGTACCTTTCTTTGGCCATTTCAATTCATATAAACTACTTCAGAACACGTTTCCAGCGGATAGCAAAACGCATTTCTTTGTACACTTGTGTATATTGGTTAAAAAATCACTAAACATGTTGTACAATAGTGACGGCTGGGGTGGTTGGTATGTTATGATGATTGCTTTGCGCAAACTGAAGACCACAACTTAGAGACAAATTTATACAAGCACTAACTTCCAATTGAGTTTACTCTGCAGACTGCAAAAATATATAGTAGGTGACCAAAGACATGGTATGGTACAACAGGTGAGCAATGCAAAAAAAAGTTGAGAAATGCAAAGAAACTGTCACTTGGCACAAGCACGAAGTGATAGATTTTAATTTTAATGTTTTCCTTTGGTTTTCATTATATGAATTTATTGCTTTGCTCCAGTTTACACTGCTCATCTTTTGTCACATGCTTTTGTCGTCCATATACGAGGTCTGTTAGAAAAGTATCTGACCTTACTTTTTTTTCGAGCACCTGGTGGATTTGAAACAAGCACGCTTGCATCAGCCAAACTTCAACCTTTCTGCGCATGCGTGATTTTTTACCTCCCGCCAACAGTGTCAATCGCTGGGACGCAGTGTTTGAATGAAGTAGTGCACAGTGCTCATCGGGTTTTTCATTCTAAAGAAAACGATGGAGCGACTGGAGCAGTGCTAGTGCGCCAAATTTTGTCAGAAGCTGGGCGACAGCCAACTGGAAACCACTGGGAAGATCAAGACGGCTTTCGGTGAGGACGCTACGAGCTGCCCACAGAATAAGGAGTGACACAACCACTTTAAAGACAGCCGCACATCGGCGGAGAGCGAGCCACGCTCCGGTCAGCCGTCAACATGTGGAAATGACCAGGTCATTGCCGAAGTGAACTCTGTGGTGATGCGGGACCGTCGTGTGGACTACCCGAGAAATCGCGGAAGAGGTGGGCATCAGCACTTTGTCTGCACATTTCATTATGACAGAAGATTTAGCCATGAGGAGAGTTGTGGCGAAATTCGTTCTGAAACTGCTCACGGTGGAGCAAAAGCAACTTTGTGTTGAAGTCTCACAGGACATTCTGGATTTCACAAGCAGTGACCCTAACTTCGTGAACACCATTATCACTGGTGACGAGTCTTGGGTGTAGAGCATGACCCGAAAACCAAATCCCAGACGTCACAATGGAAGCAATCCATGTTACCAAGACCAAAGAAGGCCAGCCAAGTGCGCAGCAATGTCAGAGTGATGATGAATGCTTTATTTGACTCCCGTACTGTCTTTTTTGTCTTTTGTCTGAAGGCCTGTACATACTTTCCATTTTATTTTTTGTTGTGTTTGCCAATTTGTAAACTTAATAAATGTATACCCACTCTGCTAAATCCCTCTGTGAGGGTTGCAGTATTGAAAAATAATTAAATAATAAATAAATTGTAGACCATGAGTACATTCCACGTGGTCAAGCAATCACCAAAGAGCACTACAGGAATGTCTTCCGTCGCCTACGTGATGCTGTGCGGCGCAAGAGACCCGAGTCATGGTCAACAGAAAACTGGCACATCCATCAGGACAAAGCTCCTGCACATTCCTCACACTTGGTTCGGTCTTTTTCGGTGAAAAGTCTGACTCTTGTAGTTCAACAGGCTCGTTTCTCTTCTAATATGGCCCCCTGCAACTTCTGGCTATTTTCCAAACTCAAGAGGACATTGAAAGGAGAGCAATTTTAGACAAGGCAGGACATTAATGGCTGCAATGACCGCTGAGCTAAACTCCATTCCGAAAGAGGCCTTCTCAGAATTCTTCCAACAATGGCAGCACCGCTGAGAGAAGTGTGTAGAGTTCCAAGGGGACTACTATGAGGGCAATTACGTTTCCAACGCTCTAGTTATGCCAGTTTTTTTTTTTTTTCTTCTATCAAAGGGCGGGTACATTTCTAACAGGCCCTGTATTTTTATATTCTGCGCAACGAACTTAGTAGGAAGGTATCACTTGTCCTCGTCTGTCTCCACGTCCTAGTCCTGAGTTTGCGCTGTAGCAATCATCATATTGTACAAGCTTAGAAGAAATGTAGAACAATTAATTTACATTTTTATATTGAAGCCTAACATTACTGAAAATCCTGCAGGAAACCTTTCACCACTAATGTGGTTTGCCTATAAGGAACAACAGAGCATCATAGAAGAAAAAAAAAACATTCTAGATAACTTTGAGAGCCTCCAATACTTCCCTTAATTATGAAATGCAAGCTTTTTAAATGCTATTGCTGTGTGTGCCTATTTTATTTTTGATGGAATTAGAATTCACCAACAAAACTGTCATATATATGTTAATATACATATAAATGTCTTGTGCTAAATAAACTTTGAAATAACTGCTTAGCAGAGACCACACTGCAGTAGTTGAGAAACTTTTGGATTACCTTAGACTATTGTAATTAGTCTGCATACGTGATCTATGCATAAAAGACGATGAATTCTGCTGATGATCAGATTACTGATGAATGACATTTGAGCGTCTTTGCTTGTTTACACTATGAGTATGCATCCTTAGCTGGGTACTAGTTTGCCCAATAAAGAGTTTCATTTTTACTGGCTGCATTTTTCTTCATCGTCACAACTATGTGATTTTATTCTATCAAAGCACTTGTAAAGATAGAATTCTTGCTCGAGCCTTATGACCACTAAAAAAATACATCAATGTCACAAAGGGACATGTGACACACTAATGTGCTGATCAGTTCACACTACTTATAGAACTAGCTAATTAACAAGAACTGGCACAGTGAAGTGTTAAAATGCTACTACTACATTAAAATGAACTGAGGTTACTATAGCTTCCTGTACAAATGCAGTGAAAAGCGGTCTTGCTTACCTCCTGCGGCAACATTCTCGGCGATGCCAAACTTATTTCTGTATGTAAATCCTGCCACAGCAACGGTCCTGCAAAAAGGAAAAAAAAGAAACAAATTAACTACAAAGAGCGAAGCATGCAGGGAAGGGTGTTTCAGGTACACTAACAGTGTCGGCTATTTCTTGAGCTAACTGGCAACTACATTGCCGCAATCCACTGCTGCAGTTGCTTCTGCTCATGAAACAACACTGGAAAGTTGTAAAAGTATGTTCCTGGTGAGCTTTTGTACTATGTTCTTAAGCAGCCAACAATGCAGCAGTTATTCCTTGACATCGGTGAAGGGCGATAGAATCACCAAATGACGATGAAATACACATGCTTCCCTGCACCCACCTACACGCTCCTGGGAACACTGCTCACCTGAGCCCGTCAACGCTTCTGACCCGTGGTGGCAGTGGCATCGTCGGCACTTCGAGCATCGCTAATACCCAAACTACCACACCACATTCTCAAAGTTCACAATTGTTGACTGACTTAAGCATCTTGCGTGACATTGTTACCATGGCTGCTGCAGATATCACATTCCTCCCTGCAAGCACACGAGCTATCGCACTGAAAATAAGTTGCATGTTCGGAGAAAAAAATGAAAAGAAAGTGCTCAAGGTCATGTCATGTGCAGACAAAGGAACGCACCTTCTTTCCCTTTTGTTATCCCCCTCCCCGCATAGATTTTAGCCCGCTCGCTAGTGCAAATACGGAGAGAAAGCGCTAGAAGCGTGATGCAAATCCCTGTAACTCGGCTCATACTGGAGGGATCAAAAAATTTCTGTGGCTGCCGACTTCTTAGACAACTGACTCTTTTGATGAATCAATTAGATCATTACTTGAAAAAGTGCTGCAAGGTCTCTTTAATGACAACTAAAAAATGATGACCATAGTCGCATTTCACTTACATGTAGATCGCTGAAAAGGCCGTCATCCTCCAGCCAAGTTTCCAGGCACCTCTGAGAAATTGTAAAAACATTGTATCTTGGAGCTCCCGCTGTAAGGAAGAAATTGAAATGAGCACAAAAATGTGAAGTGTTCTTCAGCATCCCATGTAATCTCATTGCCATTCAATTTTCCTTAATACCGGCACAGTGCCACTGCAGCATTATTGCAGTGTGTGCATTGTAAAAGTGTATCTTGAATCATCAGGCAGTGCTACGTCTGAGCACACACGACCAATTTCAATATCCCCAAACTTAATTTGTAATCAAAATAATTTTACATAAGTACGAGTCTAACATTGATATGTTCAAACAAAAGAATTATTCTGATACGCATTCCTCATTAAACTTCAATACAAATGTATTATCAAACAGCCCACAAGAAACAGTCCAAATACTACATCTAAACGAAGAAACTGAAATAATTTCCTTTTTTCATGTACCTTGGCATGCATCCACAAGTGATTTTTAACAAAGCACAAAAGGTTGTTCTTAAGGACTATATTCTGGCTGCAAAAGTGATGGAACTAAAAAGATACCTCCTTGTGTGCAGTCTATTACGCATAGCTTGTGGGTGTCAATGAAGGCATATAAAAGAATGACGCACAAACTGCTTTTTTTGGCAGATGTGTTGTTCTTTAATACATCTATGCACTCACTAACTATGCTTAACAGCCAAAAGCACTTTCTGCCCCTGGAGACCTTACAAATGCGTCACACACAAACAGTCGATGCACGTTGGCACCGCGACATATCGGCAGCACTGAGCACTGGCCCGCTTAAAGAATCCATAATACTATTGCGATTGAAGAATGAAAAAATAAAGGCAAGAAAGCTTTTTTGCACACTGCAAAAATTGGTGCAACACTTTCGGTGCTGGGATTGTTAGATGCACTGTGTAGTGCGCACTGATGTGTACGAGTTTCACTTCTGATGACAGCTGCATAACAAGACAGGTTTTTTTTGTAGCTCCCAAACTGACACTTCTGTGCACCTCACAACCTATTAGTATTTTATGGGCAGCCCTTCAGCATACTTCTTTTAAAGAAAGCAGTGCACACTTTCACAGAGCGAACCACACTGTCTGAACACATAGGACTCTTCACTGTACATCACAAGTGCAATGAAAATAAACCATGCCATCAATGTCCAGCAAGCTTCGCAGTGCAGAAAAGCTGCCCTGCAGGGCTTTAAAGCTTGTCTCGAGTTATGCCATTGTACTGTAGAGAATTTCACAGTGGCAGGGAGTGTGACAGCTCCGATGGCTTTGGGAGAATTTTGTGCAGAATAAAACACGAAATTCCGGGGAAGGAAAAGTGCATAGCTATGTTTTGCAGTAGCGAGCAAAAAAAAAAAACACTCATTATGTTACTGAAAAGCACCAAAGCACTGTTTGCAGTTAGTGAGTCAGTAGAACTTTATTTTTCAGCTGAGGTATTAAAGCAGTACTAATACAAAATTTTGAATGTAAGATAACTAGTGATATGAATTTGTGTGGACACACACACATCATCTGTAAAACATCTATAGATAATATAGCCTAGAACATATTTAACACCAATCTTAAGGGGGCAAACTGGTCTTTGGAACCAAAAAGTGACAAAAAAATTTATTTTTTAAAATTGGGAAATTTTGTTCCTGCTAGTATTTTTCAATTTCTCTGCAAATTTTCACACACCAGGAAGTGGTAATTTTTTTGTAAAGTCATTCTAACTGTCCAGATTCTTGGTGCTGTTAACCTGCAGAACCTGCAAAAAAATGGGGAACAGACTTCAAGGCTTCTTTATGATTTGCCGGCAGCTGTGTTAAAAACTCTGCTATGAATTTATGAGGACCGTTATGAGAATTGCAAAACATGCCCACCATGATTGCTGGTTTTTGAAAAAACTGTGTGTTTTCAGTTTTTTCCATTTTTCTCAAAGAAGTAAATTTACGACTGTTCTCTGCAGCTAGGGCAGGTTAATTCTTTTTGCAATGGAAACCTGTACGTGCATAGAATGCAAGTATGGTAACCGAATTTAGAGCACAAGCCTTTTTAATTATTTACTAATGAAAATTTTAACACAAGTCCAAGTGATTTTGAATATAGACAGCTCATTTTGCAGTAAAATAATCAAGAAAGGCCTAAAAACAAAAAACTCTTGCATACTTTCGATCTATTGTCATTAGTCTATATTGGCATATCCTAAATATCACTTTAAATTAAGCACTTGTTTTTCTATGGTGGCCTTAAACATTAAAAAGTGAACTTAGGTTATCTCAGAAACAAGATGATCGAGTTACAGGAAACCTAATTCAATATTTGAAACCAGAGGAAAAAAACTGCATAATCCTGTGCAGTTTGATCAAGATCACTGAAGAAATAAACAAAAAAAATTCGGCAGATCCCACGTACCTGGGAATCAATGTTATGCGAAGCATGCGGAGAGAAGGTGACCGTGTTGATTTTTTTTATTGAGCGACACGTCGAGAAATGACGCCATATATATGCACAAATCTTGCACGCATGTGCATATCTTTAAGAGTTGCAGATGTTTATATAACCAGTTATTTGCACTTGCGCAACGATGTCAATTGGAACGTGCGTGTTAGCAACACGAGAAGTTGATATGAAGTGCTGATGCTCGCGAAGATGCTGGACCTGGATACTGCTACATAAATCACATGAAACCTAACCACAATTGAGGTTAACCCAAAGTAACAGCTGTATCAAATCAGTACATATGTAATGTTTATAAAATTAGGTAGGCAGCACTACGAACGCTATTGACGTTTCACGAAGATTAGCATCTATTTGCAAAGTAGTTCCAAGACCTGGCGTAGCTCTTAGGTAGAATGCCAGACTGCCAAGCAGAAGGCTTGGGTTTGATTCCTGCTGGAACCCTGGCATTTATTCTTTGCATTCGTCGGGGGGTCAACGCTGCCTATGTCAGGTTTTTCTTAACACTGACATATATTCTATGCCTTCGTTGGGTCAACGCTACAGATATTGGGTATTGCCTAAAGCTCACGCGTTAAAAGTGTCCATGCGTGTTCTCATCTTTCCTGGGTAGATACTAAGTGACAATCACCCGTAGCACATACCCGCATACCAGAGGCACATACCCGCCTGTGGGTTGTTTGACGATGTGCGCGACGGCATTGTGACATTATTTATGTCTTGACCAGCGCATCATCTATTTGTCAAACCATCTTACCCTCCCATGCTAATTTTGGTTCACGCCAAGTTAAGAGGGTGACCACGAGAGAACCCAAACGTAAATGGCTAGATAGATAGATAGGCTCAAAGTCACCGAAGTTTGCTCAAAAATGCTTCGCATTCAAAATGTCTAAGATCTGTCTGCCCCCTTAACGTTCACGCCATGCAATTGCATGCGAAATGGACCACCTAGCAACATTGGCTTGGTTCCAATACTAACTAACAACCACCAACAATATGAGTTTATGTAAACTGCCATGATCCTTGTGTATGCTCTCTTGTGAGTGCAGTGCCGCGTGCACTGAAAGCACGTCACTGTATTGTGTGCACACATGGCCAGCTGCATTTACACGAAAATCCCACTGGGTCCCACCTCTCTCAGCGTTCTCTGAAACCTAAACTGTGCCTGGGTGCTGAAAAAATGCCTTCAAATATTTAACCCTTTTACTACCAGTATAAAAGAAAAAAAAACATGGCATAATTACTGAAAAAAAATTTTGCACAAAATTTGTTGACTTTTTTCTGAATGAGACACTACCACTCTTTCAATTCAAAGGGGTTCCCTTATATCATTGATCGCGCAAAGAAAAATAACTGATGGACGGCTTCACCGCATGGAAACACTACAAGAAATGGCAATATAAAGCAAACCGAGACACAGAAGGCCCAACATGGAATAGTGTGGCCATCTAGTGCCAGGAAAGACAAGTACAATAGGTACTGTCTTCATTTGTTCTGTGTGGGACCAATTTTTGTTGATGACAAGCACAATTGTGATCAATCATTTTGCCACAAAATCTCATGACTATAATCATCAGAGGTAGCAAGAGGGCTCACTGTCATGCACTCAAGCAGACAAAGTTTGCAGATGTTATAACTGAGTCGTTAAACTTATTGCAACAAAAAAAAAAAAAACAGTGCAAATTTTGTGTTAGTACGCTTTATGATGACTGGCTACTACGAGGTTAAAGGGCCAGTAAACAACCCCAAGGTCCAAATGATCCTATGAAGCACGAACGATTCAAGTGCCCGAGAGAAGACATTGCAACAGAAGGCGACAAAAGCTCTGTTGAAATTTCTACATGACACGGACTTGAACAAGCGGCTGTAACAGCAGTGTCACACACTGCCAAAGACAAGACTGGACTATGACTGAGTGTGCGCGCGTGTGCTGCCGAATGTGCTTTGTTTATCTCTCTTCCCTCTCTGCTCTCTATCTTTCATCTCCCCCATCCCCCTCCCATGTGCAGGGTAACAAACCGGCTGCCTACAGGCTGGTTAACCCCTCCCTGCCGTTCTTTCCCTCCTATTTTCCTTCCTTCCTTCCAAGGTTCAAAACTTGTAATCAAGAGAAATACGTGCACTTTTACTTGGTGAACATGCTGCCGCAAGAATTTCGTGAATAGACGCTATATTAGGGCAGTTACAGCAGTTAGAACATCGGTATCAGCTGGTTTCAAGTTTCCGCGAGGCCTCGCCACCCTACTCCCTCACATGAAGGGGGACACGTAGCTCGTCGTCGTGACTCCACCCACTTCGGCAACGTAACACGACAGTGCCAGTGCCGATGCTTCTCTGCTGCCTAGTCGTTCGATTTGCAGCCGACAACGAAGCAACGCTGTTTCCCCATGTTGCTCATGTCGAGGAAAAAGCATGTGCGTACAGGCACTACGCTGAGCCGTAGATGAGCGAGGAATGTGTGCAAGACAACTGCACGGCAAAAACACAGAGGCCATGCAATCAACTTAACTGGGCAAGTTTATGACCCTCTTGGTGTCACCTGTGCAACGTATCTGCATACCATCATGTAAGTCAGCACTGCACAGCGAGACACTAGGCCTACTCTTGCTGATGACATCAGTTTCATATTGAACGTTCTGTACGAAATTGCAAATGACGCAGAATCCTAGTTCATTACACGGCTACGAGTTTCTGCTAAAACTGGACGGAATCGAAACAAACCTACACAAACCAGTTTCTGTGCTTTGCAGCAGCATATCACAATTTCCGGAAATCATGGTGACTTTGGCGCTGGAAGCTGTAAATGTAGCACTTTGGTGTGAGTGGCACAGCTGTACTAACCCGTAGTCTAGAAGCACACTCTGTTGGGATGATCAGTTCATGTATAGGCTACAAAAACATGGCTGTTCTTGCAGGACAAAATAACAAGGGAATGGGTCAAGAGGTTGCGCTACTCTAGACCTCTTCTTTCCTTATTTCGTCATGCGAAAGGAGCCATATTTTTGCGCCTCTTGTTTCAACATCTTGACTGCACAATAAAGACAAGGACAGAGGGAGGTAAGACGACACCTGCAGTACATTTTGCGCCTTGTGTGTGGACATCTACCAACCTGGCAGAGAATGCAACCAAAGGTGTACCCACCACTGCTTGTTTAGGGTTGAGAAAAGTGCTTCCTTGGTTCTTGCGAATGTAATTGGCCCTGGCTGTTCTGGCGTAGTTCCATCCGCCGGCAAGGGCCCCACAGACCCCGCTGAATAGAGATGCGTTCTGCACCAGCAATAGCTCGGGTCCAAGACCGCGACTGTAAAGGATGAGTGAACCGTCAATCGCTTTCTCTTCAATACATAGTGTGCACGTGCGTCACGCAGCGCCGATTCGTCACTTCTGAAATGCGCCACTGACATGCCCGGGTACCTACTACTGACTACGTGGCCGACCGCTGCCATGTTGTTTCCTCAGGCATGCGCCGGTTCAGTTTTGCCTAATGATGCAAGTTTGAGCATATCAGCTGCTGGTGAGGCTAGTTGATATAGCAGTCCACGAAGAGGGAGCAGAGCGTCAGGGTGTTCTGTTTGCCCAAAGTTATTACCTAAAACTGAGAACGCACATTGCGATTTTCCGAAAAGCACCGGAATGTTTGGCTGGCGCAGATTAACAAAAGCGACTTGAAAAACCGGTGGTATTGGCAATCTTCAGGTGTAACTTCATAACGGGTAAGTGCTTTATTCAAGCACGTACCTGCAAACAGAGATAGGTACTGTATATACAAACTTGTCTGCAACCACTGCGTGCACAATCAGCGTGTCAGGGAGGTGGTTAAAATTGTGAAGGCGATCGTGGGAATTCGGGTATAGCATTCAAACAAACTGTGAAAATGGATGTGAAACGCTATTTGTTCACTCACGATTTGAAGTATAGCTGACCGGTTCGAGTTGGGTGGTCAGGTTTTTTAAAAGTTGGTCGATTGATTCTTTAAAACGGTCTCCATCATCAGCAACAGATGACGAGCCCTCAACAAACCATGCTGCAGCACCCAAACTGCTGTAGGTACCCAGCGATGTACCCGGGTATGGCGGGAGATGGCGACAACGCAGAAGTGACATCACATGAACACTATGTATAGGGTACCAAACTTTGTTGAACACAGTTTGTGTGACCACATTGCTCAGATAGCATATGTAGGACACTATCTGAAATATTAAATGAAGCATAGGGAACTGTGAAAGTTGCATCAGTGATAACTGGTTTAATGTGAGCATTCACGTTAGCATGAAGCAAGAAACAATTGATTGCAGAGTGATTGCTCGTGAAATTTGTTGTAATTTTACTTTTAATAAACACAAAAGAATTTTCTTTTGTAATTCAGTTTACATTGTTTTCATGCATCCATTTGAGTAGCAATCACTGCTTGTGTAAGCATACGGTCATCACAGACCTGTAGGTAAAAATTGTTCCCAAGACGGAAGAGGGGGGGGGGGGCGGGGGCACTTGCAGAAGGTCTTGACTATTTCTGAAAAATAACTGTTTATTTTTGGTAAAACAACAAACAACTCCCTCAATCAGAATTCTGGGGGGGGGGGGTGCTCCTGGCTACGGGTTTGGGTCTAAAGTTTTGATGGAATCAGGTATAAAAAGCCGAGCACGTGCATTTCATCTTGTGTTTGACACCAAGGTAACACAGGTTACAATACAATACAAGCTGCCATTAATGTATGCATTATGAACAAAAAAATTTTAAAGATGATGCAGTTAACTGGCATCAGATAAAGCGCAACTCATTCAAACAGGAATCTCAGAGAAATGAAACACTTGTGATAAACTTAGCCACTAAAAGGCACCTTGTTAACAAAAATGATTCAGGCATGGTGTGCACTTAAACAGAACTTTGACTGCAAGTACCGCCTACTCTAATGGCCAGCGTAAATGACAAGTAAAGCTGTGCATTTCCATCAAAGGCCCACCCAAGCTTGACGCTAGAAGCGTGCGAGCCCACCCGGCCCGACATAAAAAAACAAAAGCCCAAGCCTGGCACCATTACGGCTTGACATTTGCATGGTTTGTTGTGAAGACATGATATAGTTTTTCGATAATTAATAATGTGGCATTTTAGTCAACACATCAAATGGAAACATAAGCAAACGACACATCACAGGCACTATACAGACTGATTACAAGTTTTCGTTTAAAAATAATTAGCTTTTCAATGATTCGGTCTTCAGTGCAGTGCAACGCCATTACATCGCACACCCCACCAAACTGAAATCCGTTTTATACTTACACTGGTAGCGAGAAGGGCCAACATCTTTTTCGCAAGCATAGCAAGCTTATATTTAGACATCTTAATCTTTCAACAAAAGTTTAGCACCTCAGATGCAGGACAGGACAATGGCTTCGTGGTTAGATAATCACAAAGCTTACATAGTGTGCTCACTGCAATGAACTAGAAAGCAATACAGGTCAACATCTCTATTTTTGGCTTGACTCGGGCTTTGTGCCTAGCCCGAGCCTAGGCCTGACGAGATAAGACAGAGGTCTGCTCGAGCCCGGCCCACAGGCTCGGGTTAACTGAAGCCTGTGCACACCTACAAAGAAAGTTACGACCAAGGTGTCAAATGGCTGCACAACGAAGAAACAAATCCAATTTATTTGGCAGTTTTGAAAGAGTTAGTGGTCAAATTAAGGATATAGAAGTTATAGCAGCGTTTCTATGGCAAGGATTTCGCAAGGACAAAACTAGTAATCTCCAAGCAGAAAGAAAATGCTATGTAGTGATTAGAATCTTGCAGTCACGCTCATGCCAGTGCTCTGTTCACGTCACCAGGAATAATAGAGCTAATAAAGTTTTTGGTGCCTGCTCTGTGAAGAACATTTGAAATATTAGTATCAACGAGGTTTGTAGCAAATTTGTAGATAGATTGAAACAGGTGTTGCTGTTACAGCCGTATTTATGATTACGCATCAGTTGAATGTGTGCATGGTTCTTCCGAATGGAAGCAAACCAAAGGGCTATTGGAAAAACTATTGCACAAAAGAGGCTTCAGTACCAGAAGCCTAGGACATGTAAGGCATCTGTTTGTTACTTCACCACAGTAACGTCAAAACACTTGTATAGTAAGCTCAACTCACTTGTATGGTAAGCTCAACTCAAATGTTCCACAGCATATCCTGAAATGATTTCATTGATGCCATCGCCGCGTCTCTTGGTTCTCTTGCCGAGATGCTACCAGTGCATGCCAACATATTTGAGCGTACCAATGTATTATTTCCTCAACAGCACCCAGGATTTTGTGGCTGGCATCAGTCGAACTGGCCCAGGTCACGCTGTGGCACTTTATAGTTAAGTTTGCTGATGACTGTACAACTTTCAAGCATATGATCGTTGATCACTAATGTGTCCTCTGCTTCAATAAAATACTGTTCCATATAACTCGCTCTTTAGCACTTTGAATTTCGTTTAAATGGCGTCTGCATGTCTCGCCTGTTTAGTTTTAAACAATTGGCTTGTAGAAGCAGAATATCAAGCGGGCATTTCTTGGTATTCTTGGTACCAAGTGGGAATACGAAGTGGGCATACTAAAGGAGGTAATGTTTATGAGAAGCTTAAAGAAGGCAAGAATAACAAGCAACAATAAGCAGTCCTTAGATTTACGGTTCAGCCCTAGTAAGCCTCTACATTTTTCTTAGTACTTAGATGACTAGTGACACGGGAAAAGGTCTAGTACTTTGTAGCACTGATTGAAGATTGATAATCTACAAGGAAACGTATAAGTGCGGATATTGTGAGGAACTGGTTTATGCAGCCAGGCTCGAGCTAAATCACGCTGGTGATGATATTTTTAGATGAAGAAGATGTACAGGTGATGATGATATCAAAGAGAATAAAGAGTCATTCGCTTGTCGCGCTCACACTAATTCCCCCGCGCGGTGAAAGCGGCCGCCTGGTCGCTTGACAGTATTATGGAAAGCGTCACGCATAAGGCTTTAAACGAGATACGTGCACTATCTCTGTTCCTCGGCAACGATGATCAGGACTAGCGCTAAGAGGAGAAACGCGGTAATTGACAGGAGATATCTATTTGACCACCGTGTACGGCCCAATGAAGCGACTGATGAATTTGTCGCATAGGCTGGGGACGTGTAGTGGGGTCCATAGAACTTCGTCACCAGGGGAAAATCTGACAACACGGCGAGACGAGTCGTAGTGAGATTTTCGAGTGTCTTGAGAGAGGCCGGTGTTAACACGGGCCTGGTGACGGCAGTGTGCGAGACGAGATAGGAATTCTTCAGAGAAAGGAGCCGTCGAGGGTGCAGGGGCCGAAAGGAAAGAGACATCCAGAGCGAAACTCGGCGAGCGACCATGGACGAGAAAAAAATGGAGAAAAGCCGGTAGTGCGTTGAGCAGCCGTATTATAGGCGAATGTCACGAAGGGTAGAATTGCATCCCAGTTCGTGTGTTTGGGGTGAATGTACATGGCGATCATGTCCGATAGGGTCCGATGAAACCGTTCAGTCAATCCGTTGGTCTGCGGGTGGTAGCTAGAAGTGGTCTTGTGAACAGTGTTCGAGGCACGCAAAACTTGCTCGACAATGGAAGATAGGAAGACTTTGCCACGATCACTGAGGAGAATGCGTGGAGCTCCATGACGCAAAAAGATGTGACGAAGAAAGAAATCGGCGATCTCAGTGGCAGTCCCAGATGGTATAGAAGCTGTTTCTGCGTAGCGGGTAAGGTGGTCGACGGCCGTGACAATCCAGTGATTCCCATTGGATGATATAGGAAGAGGGCCATACAAGTCGATTCCAACGACTTCAAAAGGCGAGGCGGGACAAGGAAGAGGTTGCATTAAGCCAGCCGGAGCAGTTGTCGGTCGTTTTCGTCGTTGGCAATGGACACAGGAGGCGACGTACTTAGCGACGGCTGAAGAGAGGCCAGGCCAAAAACAACGACTTCGTATTTTGTCGTAAGTCTTCTGATAGCCTAGATGAGCGGCGGTTGGATCATCATGAAAGGCTTCCAGAACTTCACGTTGCAGAGAAAGTGGGATGACGGGCACCCACTTGTTGCCATCGATGTGGTAAATGTAGCGACATAAAGCATCACCGACAAGCTTAAATTGTTTAAGTTGTCGACGGAGTCTGGCGTTTGGAGGAGTAGTAGAGCCGGTCAAGCGGTCAACAATGGTGCGGCAGTATGGGTCAACACGTTTTTGTGAAACAAGGACGGATAGGGTGGCAGGTGATGAACTTAGGGCTGCGATTGGAGAGGTGCTGTCGTTTTGGAGTATCGATGATGAGTGGCTT